TACACACTCAAGTATATACATACATATATACATATATACATGTAATATATATGTGTGTGTGTGTGGGGGGGGGCTTGAGTGTGTAATAAGTTAGGCATTTTTACTGTACATAACATACTTTTTGAATTATATTTACATCTGCATAATTTACTGTAACCCTAACTCACAAAACTTTGTCATATATTATAGCTTCTTTTAAACACATCATGCATATTTAAATCCAGTAATTTTTATCTCCCTCTGCATCTTGCTATCCACCTCATATTTAAAACAATAAATATTTACACTCACTAACATGGTAATCAAAGCACTGCTATTCCATTACTATGGTAATGATTCTTCATATTTACCTCAGCTGATTTACTAAAGAGCTGCACGCTCTCAAACAGGCCAAGGTTTCATGAACACTATGGGTGACTTACTACATTTTTTATTCTGGTTTTGTTCTTTCTTTATAAGTACTGAGCTGAACTGAGGAGAAAGTCATATTTCATGCTAGGTAAATAAAAAAAATGTACCTTTTTTTTTGGTCAAACACAATTTAGGATTAAAATATTAACAAATTTCAATTGCAGTTGTAATTTATTAAAGAAATGCATAAAAAAATCTTGATATTTTTTCGTTGTTTTTGGCCATATATTTTTGGTACAATTGGTCTTTTTTATTTCATTAAATTTAACAGATTTCACTTTAATATTTATTCTACTTTAAAAATATATCCTTCAAACTTCACAGATAAATACCCTGTGTAATAAATACCCTGTGTAATAAATACCCTGTGTAATAAATACCCTGTGCTGTTAAAGCTGGTTTTTGTCAGACCTTTCTGTAATGCAAACTTTCTATCATGGAGCACTTGCTGCGTAACAACAACAACAATAATAATAATAATAATAATAATAGTAATAATACCAATAATAATAATAATAGGCTAAAGTGGTTTCTGTAAAGGTGTAATAAATAACCTATAAATAGGATAAATGAAAAATAAATATATAAATCATTGACAATATAATCACTTAAAACCTCAGTAAGATGTAATGTCATTTCTCACTAATACAAACATGTCGTTTCATCTTTATCTACTCCCTTTTCTAAAATGATGTCTAAGTCAACAATAATTCAACATCTTGGCCTTTATTTATGCATTTGTTTCTTTGTTTTGTTTGTTTGTTCGTTAATTCATTCTCCAGCCACAACAGCGACTTCCTGCAATGACCCGGGCATCCCAGTCAATGGCTCTCGGTACGGGGACAGTAAGGAGCCTGGTGACAGTATGACCTTCCAGTGTGACCCAGGTTATCAGCGACAAGGTCAAGACACCATCACATGTGTGAGGATGGACAACAGGTTCTATTGGCAACCTGACCCTCCTACATGTATGGGTAGGTGTATAACTTTCTGCAGACTGCTGATGGTCTAACTAGATGTTTGTGCTTGCATGAGACCAACGTGGCGTGTTTTATTTCCAATTTGATCAAAAACATATAGGCTGTTTTTAGAGGTCGAACAAGTGTGAGTTTTATCCAAAATGTAATAAAATGGTCATGGAGATGGTTATAATGAAAATAACAGGCAATAAAGGTATTAAATTTAGATATGTATTATCAAAGAAGTTGAAGCTGCCTGTATATGGGTTCTTATATCAGAGCTTTAACAAGCTTGAGCACGTTTGCTTTATTTCTTTCTCAATTATCAGTACCAGCTGGCACGTCTGTACACTGAAGCCCAGTGATCGCTTGGATTTTCCTCTAAAGTTGATTCACACCTTTACTGTTTTCCCCATCCCAATGTTTTACTTATTTCTTAACTTTCACAGGTTTTCCAGTGATCTAAAAAATAAGGAAACTGAATTGGAGACCTTCAATTTGACTTTTTTTTTTCTTTTTTTTGCATCTGAAAATGTAGAAATAGAGTCCGTGTGACAAGAAAGACACCTTGTATCAACAAATACATCCTCAGTTTCTTTACCCAACAACTATAAAAGAAAATGTGGTCGCAACATATATGCTTTAAGCATGTCCACAGGTTCTTCTACTCAACTTTTCAAAAGTACATTGCTGGTGAATGTTTTAAGAATTCAAATACATACCGGTACACTGAGCTCAGTTTTTATGTGGCTTTGATTAGAGCAAATGTATGAGGCAACAATATCCTAAAGGTTCTGAGCTGTTCAAGTCTGAATTTTTCAAGCCCCGACTGAAATATGACATCACGTACATGTGAAAGTGGTATGTAAATAATGTGTACAAGCAGGTTAAATGTGCCATAGTAAGAAGCATGTTGCCCACCTGACAACTTGCTCCAAAGAAACGCTGATATTTCCATGGATTAAAGTTCTCAGCCGCGACGGAGTTCCGTGATTTTGAACGTGGCCAGGACGGATTTCCGTCATCTGTAAAAAATGAGGAGGAAGAAAAAGTGTTTTGTTGTGGTCTTGTTAAAGCCATCCAATCTAACAATGATACAAAGAGAACCAGAGACACCAAAGAGAACAAAGTTTGACCCAAACAGAGCAGTTCAGGGCGGGTCGTGCTGTCTGCTTCACGGTGAGCAGCAGAGATAAACTCAAGAGGACAAGTCAAGGAGGACACCCGGCTAACCTACCAGAACCGCCCGCCGCTTCATGAAGGAGATGACGTAATAAATTATTAAACATCTATGCATTCAATGTGACCAATTCATAGCAGCCAGGGGAGATACCAGAACTGATACACCATCACCCCCACCCCTTCCTGCACCAAGCCTCGACCTCCCTGGACTTTTGTATCTAAAATCTTTGTATTAAATGTTGATGTGTTCGGAGCGTCGTCTTCATTGTACAGACATGTGCAACCTGCACACATGACTGAACTCCGAGTCTGAGAGGGACAGAGACGTGCACCACCGAGGGAACGTGCACAGCCTGTGTGTCTCTCTTACAGTGAGAGGTTGTTTCTGTTGCTTTAGTTTAAAACAATTTTTTTTAAAAAGTCTATAAAACAAATATATGCACCAGACCGTAGCAGAGATGTGCGTCTTTGTTTAACTTTAATTTATCTCCAAAACTCACAAAGTTCTCTGTGAGTCAGTTTCAGATGTTTAGTTTATCATAAATGTCTGAAAATATTCATTTCTACATGATGTTTTAACAACAACAAGGTGTGTCTGCTTGGATGAACTAAACTTGATTATATGTAGAATCATACTGATAGGTAACTTTACTCTGATTAATGCAATTTAATAAATGACCAAATATGATAAATAAATTCTATTATATAACTATACAAGCGAAAATCCTGTACATATAATCCCTTTGAATTAAATAATCATTTTAGTGGAAAAATCTGTTTAAAAAAAAAAAATATTTAACCTCTTCAAAGGACTTTTTGTGATATATATATATATATATATATATATATATGACAACCCCTCTAAAAGTAAATTACAGAAATGTTGTTAAAAGTAATTTCTTCCTTCAGAATGCTGTTGGTGTTGATGGTGCTTTATTAGAGAACACTATACTGTGTACTTTTGGTACTATACACACTATACTGTATAATTTTATGGCAGCACCTCGTCAATGGACATCCTGCATGCAGAGGGAAGCTCTCAAATGTGTGGGATTGGTATGTGTGTGTGTGTGTGTGTTTTAATTCAAGTATTTGCCTTTTTTTTTCATGTGAAATGACACCACTTCATTTTTTTGTTGTTTCTTTCTTCTCTTTATTATTAGCAAACATTAAAATAATTTATTCTGAGATACTGAGAAAACTTGAGTTTCCTTTACAACGATGCCTGTGAAACATGCTGTGTGTTCTTTCCAGTGCTGCTGCCTTGACCCTGTGTCAGGGACCTGGTGGTTCCAATAACCTTAATTTGTTTTGGACTCTGTCAGCTTTAGATTTTTTTTTTTTTTCCAACAAGGTTGGGTCAGGTCCTCTGGACCTGGATGATCCACTACGAGAAGGTGCTGCTTATGTTGAACTTGCCGCAACTCCTCAGACTGAAGAAGTCTTCGGATAAAAGACAACACTTTTCAACAAAAAAATAATCCGTCCAGAGGGCCTGACTCAACCTTCTTAGATTTATCTACCTGGATTACTGAGCATGCATCAGCACATTAGTTTTTTTGTTGTTGTTGCTGTTGTTAATATTTATTTTGTTTTGCTTCATTCCCTATTTCAGTCACCTTCAGTTGCATGAAAGTATGTGAATTCTTTGTATTTACAAGTTCGGATGGTTAAGCACATTACATACAATATGTACAAACAGCAGTGCATTTCTGAGCTAGGGTTCAGGATAAGGTCATTAATTTTGATGTTTTGCAACTGTCAGTACATTTGTATTCCCCTGCCTGCATCAATAATGATATCATATTTACCCCCCCCCCCCCCCCCCACACACACACACACACACACAAACACACAATCAAAAGAATTGCCTCAATGTTACAAAGTCATATTGCACATTACCAAATTGCTGCTTGAATGCTTTTTTGTTTCTCTCGACGCTGTATCTCCCCTGCTTTACAGCTTAATGTGGACCAAAATCACTACTGGGTCAATATTTCTCCTAACAGCCCCATACTTTGTAGCACCATTTCCGTATTTGTCTTTTCTTCGTTGTTTGGCTTAAATCCACTTTTAAAGACAAAGTAAACTAGCTACAGGCTAATTTTTCATTTCTTTACCCAACAACTGTCAGATTATCTGTTTCTTACCAACTTGTTTTGTCTCTGCCAATGTGTTAGTGAAATTAGCGGACAGTTATAATAATTTGTAATAATCTGTGCCTGTCTCTTTCTCTATTGATTTTGTTTTCTCAAGCAACGTGCGGGGGCAACGTCAGTGGTCCCTCTGGTGTCATTCTGTCTCCTAACTACCCACAGCCATACCCCGCTGGGAAAGAGTGTGACTGGAGAATCAGAGTCAACCCTGACTTTGTCATTGCCCTCATCTTCAAAAGGTAGTCTCGCTGCTGTATCTACAGAGGCGTTTGTCTCACGTGTTTAATATGTTTGTGAGAATTATTAATTTCTGAAGTCCACCAGTGACCCCCACAACCTAAAAAGGAAGAAGCGGGTAAAGATGATGGATGGATGGATGGATGGATGGATGGATGGATGCTCAATGTTATAGTCAGTTGTCACTTGATATTTTTCTGATTTATATTAGGGTTTTTTTTTGGTTGGTTTGGTGAATTCAATTAAAAAAAGAAAAAACAAATACACAAAAGCAAAAAAAAATTAAGATGTAGAAATATTCAGTGTAGATACTAAGTTTTTCTCCACATTTCGGTAAAGTAATATGATACTCGCGTTGAAATGCTTTTTAAATATAACATTAAAATGTCCCTTGACAACTGAAAACATCAATAAAATTGAGCTTAAAGCTGAGATTGTACCCAGCAAATCATCACAGCTCTCAAATTATTCAGTAGTCTAAATCAAACAATCAGCAAACATGTGGAGCTTTTTGAGAGTTGTGTCCTTGCCTTGATTGTGAAAATTTAAATTATTGTGCATTTCAAATGAAATTCTGACATTGTGTTTGTTTTGCTTGTTACTTTTGGGGATTGTTGTTTGAAAATCGTGTCTTACATCTGTCAGAAGTCAGGATTTGATGAAACATAAAGCAATAAAAAATGTTCTCCAGTTTATAAAAGGACAGTTTTAACATTGTCCTTATCCAGCTTGAAAATGTCTTATTCTAACACTTTCATTTTACTTTTAATCACATTAATTTGAAATTGCATTTTATGTTACTTACTATAAAACATATATAGATCATCCAAGTAATTAATCTATTTTCTGTGATTTTATATTTTTTTAGTTTAAAAGTATTTATCCAGTAAAGTTAAATGTGTTTTTAACTACTGTTGTTTGATGATTCACATCTGCTCCTTGCTGCTTGTTCAGAAAAGTTTTTTTTTTTTTTTTTTTTTGTCTGAATGTGTTCTTGACACAGTAGTAGTGCAATATGTTTTATTAAAACAAACTTTTTATTGTATACTTATTTGCATTATATTACATTGTAGTTTTTTAAAAATGTGTGGGCTTTATGTTTGTTTTGCTCAGAAATACACAAGTTATGCATATCTTACACCTGAAAGTTTAATTTAACTCTCAAGTTTGAATATCTTGTTTCATTCTTCTAGTAAAACTCTGTCCCATTTCTTCATCTTTTTAAGATCTTTCTGCTCTTTTGATCATATTTAGCAGCTTTAGTACTCACGTCCAAAATGTATCACTAATGCACAAGGTATTAACATGGCTCATTCAATGCTGTCTTAGAAGTGTGTGTGTGTGTGTGTGTGTGGGGGGGGGGGATGCTTAGGTGCAGTTAAAGCCCATTTAACACCATGCGCAAACACATATCTTAAACTTGAGCATTTGTTGTTATTATTTTAACTTTAATAATGACAACATGTATTAAGGCTCATGCTCTTATTTGATGTGTATGTTGCTGCTAAATATAACAAAGAAGTAGAAGAACTGTTAATAGAATAGTAAGCATTAAAAATACATGAATGCCACAGTTACAGCCATTATCTATTGTCCATTTGAGTGGAATGCCTTTTAGCTTTTTAAGTATTTTCGTAATTACAGTGCACAATAAAACTTAGTGTTAAAACATTGCACTGATGGCTGCCAACAAACAATTTTATTGTATAATTTAAATTTAAAAATTGAACAGGTTTTATGTTGCCTTTTTAGCAGCAACAAGCTACAATAAAATCAGAAGCTGAAACGATTCCAACAAGTACTCCGTAAAAACTATAAAACCAAAACAAAAGGCAAAGTAATGAATCAGAAAATGCTGATTGACTTAACAAACTGAAGCATTCTTACACTGTTAAATTTTATAATATCAACAAATGACATTTTTGGGGTATAGAAACAAACAAACAAACAAACAAAAAAGCAAACAAACATGCAAATTGAATCAAATTAATTAGTGAAAAAAGTAAAAGTGAGATACGACAACAACAAAGAAAACCATTATGTATAAAGTAGTCCCTCTTTTATCGCAGAGGATCCGTATCCTGACGCCCCGCGATAAGTGGAAAAACTGCAAAGTAGGAATAGTAGTACAAGTTGTAAATAGTAGTTTATTTTAGTATATATATATATATATATATATATATATATATATATATATAAATATATATATATATATATATAAAGGTGTTTTAAACCCTTACCATACTCTTGCAACAATGTTTCTAAACACTAAATGCTCTAAAAGAGCACAGCATGTCATTCATTCGACCTTTATTTATATAGATTAATCCCATTGAGACTCATGATGTCAACTCTCTGCCTCCTACCAGCGCTCGGCCACGCACACTTCTCCGCTGCAGAGCGGAGATATGACACACTGCAGGAGGACGCTTCTCCTGCAGCTGTGGGCTGCACAAATGTGCAGCAGGTGCTAAATAATTTAAAATAATTTATTTTAAATAAAAATATCATGCCGATTGCGTGGCTCATCCATCAATCAGCCAACTGTGTGTCATGCCCAATTTTACGTTGAAAAACCACAATAGAGCGAGTCAGTGTAAAATGAACCGCAAAGTCGCGAGGGACTACAGTGTAGCTCTGCTTTTATTTTTGACCAGAGCAGTTCCATTTCATAATCTCATCATAACTCAACCTTAATTCAAGTATTCATTAGCTGCACTCTTTCAATCAGTTAAATATTTTGGTGTCCTTGACACACACACAAAAATAAAATGTAATTCCTTGGTAGATTTATAATTTTCAGCTTAAAAAAAATGTTGAAAATATTATGTATGTAAAAGACTGAGAAGTCTTGCTGTTTACTAGATTTGTCAGAGTACAAAAACAGATACAACAAATTACATGTTTTTATAATTACTGTTTCAGTTTCAACATGGAGCCAAGTTATGACTTCCTGCACATCTACGAGGGTGACGATTCAAATGGGCCTCTACTAGCAAGTCTCCAAGGCAACCAGGCACCAGAGCGAATAGAAAGCAGCGGTAACGGACTCTTCCTGGCCTTCAGGTCTGATGCGTCGCTGGGCATGTCTGGATTTGCTATTGAATACAGAGGTATTTATCACATGTAAATTCCTGACTAACATGCTCTTTTATATTTTACAACAACGTAAACATGAAGTGGCCAGATGCAACAGAAAAAGTAAAGTATATGTAGGAACATAATGGGAGGGCTGTTGGTGATGGCACAGCATCCATATAACAAATTGTACAATTAATGACATAGCCTCGCATAAATATAATGATCAAATATGCTAAAAGTTGAATATTAGCAATAAATGTAGTGACGGTAGCAGTGGAAGATGTGGAAAGTGTTTGTAGACAACAAGAATGACACTGATTGCATGGTAACAGCAGTAATCACTAACAACAGTACAGTTCAATAAATCACTGCTCGATAATTTTAATCATGCTGTAAACTCCAATTAGTGTGAAAAACTCCAAATATTGACTAGTATTATCAGATGGGTTTATTGATCAGGTCAAATCAATGTGTGACACCTAGAAAATAAGAAGTACTTCATATCTTACTGTGTGCTTCTGTGTACAATACAAAGCCTTTATTTTCATTAAATTGTCTGCTCATTTAGCTTAAGAGTTAAAATGTCTATACATGAGTGCATGATGTGCAGACTGCATAATATTTTTAACTCTGTTCTTGTTACTTTTACCTTATACATGATGAGAAATCTTTTTTTTTCAGGTGAAGGAACATGCTGTTCCAAGTTTGTTCATGTGTTATCTCCACAGATTGTGACTAATGGTTTAATCCCTGTACTCAATCTCAGATTTGGCTGTTAAGCCTAATGGTAGCTAGAGCTGCCGTTTTTTACTTCTTATTTTTCTCCTTGTTTCTCTCACCTAATTCATTTTTTGTTGTTTATTCTTTACACTACCTTTTTGTTCATTATTTATTTCCTCTGTTCTACGAACTCTATACGTAAGATGCACTCTTGATCATCTCCATAGCTCTTTCTTTTCTTTACCTCTCTGCGTTTCCTCTTTTGATTTGATGTGGTGAGAATACAAAGGAGCAACAAGTTGTCTTAATGCCAAGTCAAACATTACTGACAGTATGTAGTTTTAATTGTTTTTCTCTTTTTCATACACACATTTTTTCACTTTGCTCATCTTTTACTTCTGTTCGGTTCTTTTTTTTTTTTTTTACACAGGGACTACATTTATCAGTATTATGTCTGTGCAGTTTCTGTTTTACTTTAAGACATTACTAAATGTAAAATAGTGAAAAAGATACAATTGCCCATTTTATTTACTGATACTCGTCTTGGCCTTTGACAAATAATATAACCTTTCTCCCCTCTCCACAGAAAAACCCAGAGAGGCCTGTTTTGACCCTGGTAACATTATGAATGCTAGCCGAACAGGCTATGACTACAAACTAGGATCACAGGTCTCGTATAGCTGTCATCATGGTTACACGATAGCGGGTAGAGACACCGTCACCTGTGTCATGGGACAAGATGGGAAACCAGTGTGGGACAAGGCACTGCCATCATGTAAAGGTAAGAGAGAATTGTAAAATCATAAATATGTATTAATTTATCTTAAAGAGAAAAGAGATACACAAACACGTTATAAATAATACCCATTTAAAACGACCAATGGTATCATTTAGGCTTCTTCTAATGTACAAGTACTGCAATGACCATTATGTTTCGTTTGGCATCAGTTTATTTCACTCTACTTGAAGTGAAGAGTGCATTTTGTTCTTTAAACATGTACATCAAAATGACATAATATACGTGTCTGGAAGTTGAAAAATATGTTTATTATGTTTACAGCTGTTGAATAAAATAAAATGTTTAACAAAATTGCTGAAACTCCTTTAAGTTGCCTAAATTGGCAAAAAAAAAAACACAGCTTGGGCAGTTGTGGTTGAGTGGTTAGATCAGTTGTCCTCCAATACGAGAGTTGGGAGTTTGATTCCACCAGCAGTCACATGTTGAAGTGTCCCTGGGCAAGACACTGAACCCCTCATTGCCTCCTATGTGTGTCCCATCAGTGTATGAATGTTATAAAGCACTGATTAGTCTGTGTACAGAAATTATAGAGTGCTGTGTGGATGGGTAAATGAGGGCACATATTGTAGTGTAAAGTGCTTTGAGTATCTTGATAAGATAGAAAGGTGCTATATAAGTACAGTCTATTTACCATTTACAATTTAAATTTATCCAACATATTTTTCTCTAACAAAAGCTGCAAGAGATGTTTTTTTAATTTTTTTTTTTTTTTTTTTTATAAGTGGACAAGTAGCTGACGAAGATGTAAGTCTAAAAACACCTACAGCCTATGAGTAGTATTTTAAAGTTTTTTTTTATTTTTTTAAATAAATGCAATATCCAGCAAATACCTGATTAAGGACTTAAGAGATGTCTTGAGATCCTGATTGTATTCTTAAAGTTGTTAGCCAATATCTCTTTGGGGATCCACTTGTTTGTGCAAAAATTGTATTTTATGTCTGTCAAACGATTTTCTTTTTGGTATTTACATAGATTCAACTAAATAAATGGGATCAAATTATCTTTGTGACAGGCTGCTGGTAACAAAGTGCCTGGAGTATGACAGAGCTTTAGGGTCCTGCTAAGAAAAAAAAAAAAATAATAAGAAAAAATAAGTTAAAAGCCATAAATTTATGAGAATAAAGTCACACAAGACTTATTTTTTCTGCTCTCATTTATTTATTTATTTTTTCCACGAGTCGGATCCACGACACGACCTGTCAGTCAATCCAGTAGGTGTGTCAGCAAATGACCAATCCGAAGCTAAATGCTCCTTACCTGCAGAGAGCTGCACTGCAGCCCATCAGAGCGTACCACCTTACTGTAAGCAGTTCAAAGTCCTGATACTGATAATAATCTGATGCTGATGTGCTCACAGATTATCAATCGTGTTTATAAAACCAATACCAAAGTATAACAACAAGATGCTCAACATTCTTCATTTTACCACAGTTATCAATCAACCTTTATTTAGACAGGTAAATCCCATTGAGCCTTGAGGACTCATTTACAAGAGAGACCTGATTTCAACAAAGAAAGATGACAACAATGGACAACAGCAACAACAATAAACAGTTATAAAAAGCATACTACAGTTTTTGTTTTTAATGCGGTAAACCTGCTTTATTGTGTCAGAGTTCGGATAATATTACGACTCATTTAGCTTCAGATTGGTCATTTGCTGACACGCCTACTGGATTGATTGACAGGTCACATTGTGGATCTGACTTGTGGACAAAAAAAATACAATAAAAGAGAGCTGAAAAAAAAAGTCTCATACGACTTTATTCTCATAATATTAAGACTTTATTTGACTTTAGTCTCGTAATACTAGGATTTTATTCTCCTAATTTTATGGCTTTTATTTATTTATTTTTCTTAGCGTGGCAGTGTAATTTATTTATTTTTTCTTAACGTGTCCCTAAAGCTCCGTAGTACTGGAGATCCACAACGGGTTATTTTCTAAATTTTTGAGGCACACATTCTTTTTTGAGTTTAGGAGCCTTTCAATGATTGAAAAAGTTCTAGGTCAAAATTAAGTGCTTTAACAATCAAACAAACCAACATAAATAAGATAAAAACTAACAAATGTCTTTTGAAATTGCTCAGGTCCTAGATAAATGGTTAAAAAATGTAAATAAATAAATAATACTTAAAATCTTGAAAAGCAGCTTTAAAAGATTGCAAGAAACCCTGGCACATTGGAGCTAAAATAATAATCAAAAGAACAGCTTAATATTTGTACACAACACAGTTCATCAGTAATTTATACTCATATACATGTACAATTTTAGGCAACTTATCCTGCTACTTAAAATGTATCCAGCTTCATTTACAGCCAGAACTTTGTCATTCCAATTTCACTCCTCTTATTGTTCTTTCTCCTATATGATTTAGATTTTCCAGCAATGGAAAATTACACGTCATACTCAATATACCATGTAACCCCATTAAGGTAGCAGTGTCATGCCAATTTATGATGACTGATATGTGGAAACTTGTTTAAATAAATGTGATACTTATTACTTGGAGTTACTTATCCAAAATCATTGGCTAATGAATGTGTGTATTTTTTTAGTGCTCAAGATTTGGAGGCATGTCTTGTTTGATTGGCAGCTCAAAGAGGCTATAATGTGACACCTACTACACCATTAAAACTGTTGTGTGTGTATGTGTGTGTGTGTGTGTGTGTGCGTGTGTCCATGTGCGCTATTAAAGTATAAGGCAACACATGAGGGTAGATGCAATATGGAAACGCACATAAATACAGACTTGCACTTTGTCCAGTTCAAAACTGTTTGATAAAGCTTCTGGGAAAGCTTTGTTTAATAATGCCCAAGTAGTGAAGGGGGTTGTGTATGGGAGTCGGAGCGAAAGAAAATGGAGTAATTGCTCTCAGACTTGCAATTTTAAAACCACAATAAATCACAGAGAGCTAAAAAAAAAAAAAAAAAAAAACACAGCCTATTAAATCATTTTGTCTAATCTACCTTCTCAGCTTTTTCTTCCTTTTTCTTAAAGAAATTACTGCCACATGTCACAGCGAAATATAAACCAAAAAGATTCATGTTGCAGGTTTGGTGACATTGTTGATTTTAAACTTTTATGAAATATATGTCAGTAAAAATGTATAGAAAATGTGATACTCATTTAACTCTAACCAAATCAAGTAAAAACTAAATAAATTTAAAGAAAACAAATACAAAAAACACAAAATTTAAGTCTTGCAGTTTATTTATTTATTATTACTATTATTATTATTATTGTTGTTAATAATAATAATAATAATAATAATGATTATGATTAATATGAAGGGGAGGGAATGTAAAGAACATCTAAGATGAGATGACCTGTATTATAGAATTATGGATGATTTAGTTAGTTTATCCATCCATCCATCCATTATCTTTTACCCGCATTTTCCTTTTTGGGTCACGGGGGTCACTGGTGCCCATGTCCAGCCATCGCTGTATGAGGACAGGTCTCCAGTCCATCACAGGACCACATAGAGACAAACGAGACAAACAGCCATACGCTCTCTCACTCACACCTAGGGACAATTTAGAGCCTCGAGGATTCATTTACAAGAGAGACCTGATTTCAACAAAGAATGATGACAACAATGGACAACAGCGACAACAATAAACAGTTATAAAAAGTCATACAGTCATACAGATTTTATTTTTTTTAACAAATAATATGGCTAAAAAGAGAAAAGTAACAAAAAACAGCTAGATTCTAAGGTGAATGTAGAAAACTAAAAACAGGAACATGTCTGCATTGGTCCCAGGAGTCCAACAGATTCTTAAAGCCACTTAGAGAGGTCAAGGTCGAGAGCTTCAAATCTTTTTGTAAGATATTCCAGGAAACAGGAGCGGGGTAGGAGAAGGTCCTTTTGCCTAGTTCAGTCCGCACTGAGGGAACACTGCAGGTAATAATGTCCTGAGAGCGCATGCCGTAGCTGCACTCACGCAGACACATGTACGAGGAGATATATGAAGGCAGCAGACCAAGAAGTGATTTAAAGATGAAAATGTACCAATTACCAATCAACCTAACATGCATGTTTTTGGTCTGTGGAAGGAAACCTGAGTACCCGGAGAAAACTCACGCATGCACGTAGAGAACATGCAAATTCCACCCAGAAAGGCCCCTGGCCGGGATTTGAACCAGGGCGACCCGCTAGCTGGAAGACGGCAGCTCTACCAACTGTGCCACCGTGCTGCCCTTAGTTGAGTTTATACTCTCATTAAAGACAGGACGTTGATAGAAACTTTAATATGAGTTTCTAGTTCACAGTACACAGCGTAACAAAGCAGTGTTCCTTCATGTTCAAGGTGCTATAAAATAATCAGTTTTGCAGTACTGACATTAAGTGCACATTGCAAGCATTTGAAACAATCCAAAACAAAAATATAGTAACCACACAAGACTACATAAAGTGTACTTGTGCAAACATGTGCAACTGGTGCGAAGTGGTAACAATAATACTGATGCGTTGACATAGTGCACTTCTCTGTTAAACTGTGGGGTCTGCACTACCTCCTCAGCAGTATTATTATTGTATTCCACTTTTTTGTGTTGCACAAATATTACACTCCTTTTAAGAGGGGAGAAAAGAAGTCAACTGCACTACTAAACTGATCTAGTATTTTATCAGTTATGTATAGGGCTCATAATAGCACATTACCTTTAAATATCCAATTAAATTTTGTTATAATTTTAAAGGGATAGAGATATTTGTGAAACTGAAATTTAGAACTAGTTTGACGTGACGGTCTACCTCAATCCAAGGGATTAGATTATGGAATAATCTGGAAAGTGATGTTAAAAATGCCAGAACAATGTGTATGTTTAAGACAATGATTAAAGCTGATTAAAAAAAAAAAATATATATATATATATATATATAGCTTAATATGTATTTGTATGAATTGTTGTTAAAGAAGGAATTATTTATTTTGTTTTATTTGAAGATTATTATTGTTTGAATTAATTGTTGG